ATTTCTATTGTGGGTGTTGCCACTTCTATTGTGGGTGGTGGCAGGCCACAATACAATCTGATTACAAATGTTTTACTTTAGGCATGAAAGTCGTATTGATTAGCATTTTTTTGCTGTTATCATGCAACTAAATTTGTATACATTCTGATAATTTCAATAGTCATGGTACTATAGTAATATTAAAAAGTTCTGCAATGCCTCTTACAATAAACTACCGCAGACATTGCGCTGTGTGTGTTATTTCCTTTTGTGATATCCGGTATGACCCGCGTAACACTCATGGGAAAGTACGTCTCAGAAGCTCGGTTCTTCCGTTAAGTCTCGTAGTCACGTGTACCTCCCTCGATTCCTGCGTAACAACAACTCAATATAGAATACAGTAGGCATTAACATACTTTTAATGTTTTTTTAACGCAGACGAAACCTAGCAGCAAACCCAGAGGTAGTGACGTGGTGCGGACTTTTCGACCTGCCGCTTTAACAGAGTATATCGGTCTGGAAGGAGGGCCTATTAAAATTTCACAGCTTTGGGGCACAAATTAAGTTGATTCCTGGGACATATGGCAGCGAATTCTCTTTGTCGCCTAGGTGGTTACAACCTCGCAACCCCTACTGGCTCGAGGCAGCAAGTGGCTCGAGACAGTTCACGAACAGTGACGGGACGTCAATAATGCTCCTTAAACGAATTTTGGAGCAGAAAGGATATTAATTTTTCAATCAGTAATGAATTTGCTTCAGAAAAGAAAGAAAGAAAAAAATGTACTCCCTAAATATCCCAAACCCGTAAAATAGAAAATGTAATCACCGTACGTCATAACCTTTACTGTTTCTCGACGGCCAATAAAAAACGTAGTAAGTATACGTACGCATTGCGTAAGTATGCCTCACGGCAGGAATTCTGAACGTGCCCCGCCCCTTTTCAATCCCGCTTAAAGAGCTGCCAGTGGCCTCGTCGAGATTTGTGCGGTGCGGGTGGGGGGCGGCGCGGGCGTCGCACCTGGGCGTCTGCGGCTGGAGAGGAGCCGTGGACCCGCTCACGCGCCTCACATGCAGCGGCGGCCTCCCCACTCCTCTCCGCCCCTCGTGACGATCAATACGCACCCGACGTCGGGGCCCAGGTCCCAGACCATCGGGCCATGCGCGCACGTGCCGCGAGCGACGAGACGGGACGGGACGGGACGGGACGGTTCGAGCGAGCATTCGGCCGCCGCCGCCGCCGCACCGGCGCGGCGCGTCACAGGCAGCACGCGAGGGGGGCAGCTCGCGAGGGCGCACTCTCTCGCGTCAAATCGTGAAGAGACGCCGCACGAGGCGAGGGAGATTGCGAGAGAGGGGGAGGGCGAGGGCGATGCAACAGGTGCATCTTCACAGACTACTCCTCGCGCTCGCCTAAAGGGAGAAAGGGCAGAACAGACGACCGGATGTGCTCCCTCTCTCTTCTGCACAAATGTATCAAAACGTTACCCAGAGGCAAATTTTATTTACCAAGAAGTTGTATTCCATTTAGACGCACACGTTCATTGAGCAATTCGTCTGGCAAAAGTACCTTTCGTTTCGTTCCTAAGAGTGACTGATGCAGCTGTTTCTTTTTCTGATACACGAATTTCAAGGAAATGCTGCAACTAAGTCATCCCTTAGTCAAACAGCATCACATAGGTTACTATAGCCTTATATAGTGATCATACTTAGCATACTTAGGGTCGACTTAGGATACTTGACTGGCATACAGCAG